AGAGTCACTGAGATCATTTCACCTGGCCAACCTTGTCCCCATTTTCAATAGGGTTCCTTGACAGAAGGGCAGGGAAGTCTTAGATAACACACAGAATTAAACTTCGCTGAAGAGGACAGCATGCTGAAAGGTTTTTCTGAACAAAATGAAGAAAGTGATCCGATGACAGTGCCTAGATGGTGTCACTATTGGCTGGCCACCGTAACCAGTGTATTTTTCATGCAGTCATTTGTTCAGCACATTTCTTGCGCTCGAGCTGGACTGCGAGAGTACAGTGTTGATCAGCACAGCATGGACCTGCCCTCCCACTCATGTTCCAAGGTTGTTAGAGCATCTTTGTCAACCTGAGAGAAAATCTCTAGGGTTTAATCACAGGCCCACCTTTAGTGTTTTCCTGTTTAACATTTCTTATCAAAGATAAATGTTGTAGTCTTATTCAATTTTGTAGACAAGAAAAACCAGGAAAAAAAATAGTGAATTCAATAGAAGATGTCATTACAATCTAACAACCCTTCAACAGGTGGGAACAGGGCTTCAGCAAGATGAAATCTGATGGGAGTAGATTTATTGTCCCATACCAGAGTTCAAAATATCAACTGCACAAGAGCAGGATGGGGGATCATATTAACAGCAGCCTAAGCTAAAAAGACCTTCAAGTTCTAGTTGAGTATGAGTTCCATATGAAGACAGGTGGTGATGTAAAAGAGTAACTGGGGAATCAGACCAGGACATTAGTTCTTACAGCTGGGGGGTGGGGGTGGCGCTGGCACCAAGTCATTGAATTTGGAGAGTTGCTTTTCTCATCAGTATGTTAGGGTATCGGGCCAGGACACCTCTCAGTCTCCATCAAGCTCCACCAGTGTGGATGATGCTCATTTTTGCACACTGCTATGTCCCTGGCATCGAGTACAGTGTCCAGCCATAGAAAGTATTCCCCAAGTGCTTGTGAGGGAGTGACAGTGCTGAACTTCTCCAAGTAAATGTCATCATGTGTCCCCCCTCCCGACACACACACACCAAAAGCCCTATTACACACTCGGGTTCAAGAAACAGAAAAAAAGTGTCTGGACAAAAGAGGTCATAATCCCATAGCTACATATATTCCATTTTAGAGGGACCATTGATAAGTTAGATGTAATTCAGAGGAAAGTAACTCGTTGGTTATGCATCTGGTTTATCATCTCCCATGAAGACTAGAAGGAGTAGTGGAACTGGCGGATGTCCTGGTCTCGGGAAAACAAAAGCTTAGAAGAACCATGGGGGAGACTTCCAGTCAAGATGGCGGGTAGGTAAACGCGGTACCGCGTCCTCCCACAACCACATCACAGTTACAACTAAACTACAGAACAACCATCATTCAAAACCGCCAGAAATCAAGCAGAATGGAAGTCCTACAACTATGGAATTAAAGCAGCCGCCACATCCAGACTGGTAGGAGGGCGGAGGGGACGGGCTGGTCCCACACCCACGTGTGGCGGATAAAAATCAGGAGGACACCTCGGCTGGGAAGGTCTTTCCTGAGGACTGAGGGGACCCCGTCCCACACCAGGTGCCCCGCTCAGGGTTCCAGTGCCAGGAAGAGAGTCCCCATAAATTCTGGCTGGAAAAACCAGCGGGAACTGAGGCTCAGAAAGGCTGAAGTGGCTGGAGCCCCAGGCAGCTCCTTAAAGGGCCTGCGCACGGACTTATCGGACTCTCTCCCTCTAAGCTCGGAGGGGAGGCAGCCGAGGGGCGCCAGAGACACACAGGGAAGAACTGAGCTGTTTGGCACTACAGCGAGGGCTGGAGAGGGGGCTTTCTCCAGGACAAACGTGCTGTCAGAGGCCTTTGTTCCTTTGGTGAGCCCTTCCCTGGGGCAGCAGACAGCCGCCATATCTGGGACTACAGCAACCTGGCCCACACTGGTAGCCCCGCCCTGGTGACTCCCTGAGGCCCCGCCCCACCCAACTTTCAGGCCCACCCAAGCTGTTGCCATTTGCTTAACCATAGGATTGGCCTGTCTTGGATCCTGCTTCAGGTTTTTCCTAAATTATTTCAAACAAGCAGCATCTGGTCTCAGCTAGCCCCATACCTCTCAAGTAATACACAGAAACAAACACAAGGAGGCAGCCAAAATGAGGAGACAAAGAAACAGGTCCCAAATGAAAGAACAGAACAAAACCCCAAGAAAAGAACTAAGCAAAATGGAGATAAGCAACTTAACAGATGCTGAGTTCAAAATACTGCTTATAAGGATACTCAATGAACTTAGTGAGAACCTCAGTGAACTTAGTGAGGGCCTCATGAGCATAAAAAAGGACCAGTCAGAAATCATGGATGCACAGTTAGAATTGAAGGAGGCATTAACTGAAATAAAGAATAATTTACACAGCTTCAATAGTAGATTACATAAATCCAAGAAGCAAACCATTGATTTGGAATATAAGGAAGCAAAAATCGCCCAATCAGAATAGCAAAAGAAAAAAGAATCCAAAAAAATGAGGATAGTGTAAGGAGCCTCTGGGACAACTTCAAGCGTGCCAACATTCGCATCTTGGGGGTGCCAGAAGGAGAAGAGCGAGAACAAGAAATCAAAAACCTGTTTGAAACAATAATGGCAGAAAACTTCCCTAACTTGGTGAAGGAAACAGACATACAAGTCCAGGAAGCACAGAGAGTCCCAAACAAGATGAACCCCAAGAGACGCACACCAAGACACATGATCATCACAATGCAAAAGGTTCAAGACAAAGAGAGAATCTTAAAAGCAGCAAGAGAAAAGGAGCTAGTTACCTACAAGGGAGTTCCCATAAGGCTTCCAGCTGATTTCTCAAAAGAAACTTTGCAGGCCAGAAGGGAGTGGTAAGAAATATTCACAGTGATGAGAAGCAAGAACCTACAACCAAGATTACTCTACCCTGCAAAGCTGTCACTTAGAATCCATGGCCATATAAAGAGTCTCCCAGACAAGAAAAAGTTAAAGGAGTTCATCACCACCAAACCGTTATTATATGAAATGCTGAAGCGTCTTTTTGAAGAAAAAGACAAAATATATGAACAAAAAAAATGGCAATGAATACATATCTATCAACAATGGAATCTACAAACAAAATGAACAGGTAGAACAGAAACATTCTCACAGATATAGAGAACATTTTGTTGGTTGCCAGATGGGAGGGGGGTTGGGGGAATGGGTGAAAAGGTGAAGAGATTAAGAAGTACAAATTCATTGCTAGACGGACAAACCTCAAAGGGAAAGGGGTTGGGGGGTGGGGTGGGAAGAAATAAACCAAAGAACTTATATGCATAACCAATGGACACAGACAATAGTGTGGGAAAAGGCGGGAGGGGGGTGGGAGTGGGGAGGAGGGGGTCAATGGGGGAAAAATGTGGAACATCTGTAATACATTTTACATTCAACAATAAAGATTTTAAAAAAAAGAACCATGGAAGATGCTTTCAAATATTCTGAACAATATTTCAGTTTTAAGTCCAGAGGGCGAATGGAAGGAAGCCCAAAGATAAACAATTAGTGAGAGGGTCCAATATAGATTTTTAGAATGGACTACTCCTCACCAGTGGAAATCTTCAAGTGGCCAGAAGGAATGTTATAGAAATTAATTCCTCATTGAGTTTCAAGTTATTTTAGGTAACCTCTAAGGTCCCTCCAATTCCAAGATTCCATGACTTTGTTATTGATGTTTAAAATGTAGTATATGCAAAATGTTTAATTTTCATGTAACTTTAAAAAATTTTTCACTCTTTAAGAATGAATCTGAACAACTCACTGAATTGAAGGAAAAAGTCCTACCATTAAGCACAACTTGCCATGGTTGTTACATAGTTTTAAGTAGAAGGTGAGTATAAACACCCAATGCTCCATCACTATTTCCCAATTCTGCCCTTGGAGCCCCTGCTGGTTGCATCGTACCACCTTCAGGCCTACGCTAAGATGTATAGGAGAACGTCTCTCATGCAACTCTTATTAAAATAAAAGCCTCCTTGTATGTCATTTTATTGAAAGTCACAGAACCTATTCACGTTAAGTGAGAACTTAACTACAATAACATTGTGAATACTGTACAGCCTTGTTCTCAATAATTAGCAAGTTACACTAGCTTCCAAAAATAGCTTTGTAATTATGTCATTTATATACTGCCTTCCATGGTGTCTTCTACTTTGCCCTAAATTAATCCCAAAATTATTACCTGAAATACCACTCCAATATCAGAAAAAAAAAAGGGGGGGAGGTATATTTCCTGTGATTTTTTTATTTTTATTTTTTGGTACGTGCCCCTAGCGGGAACTGAACCCAGGACTCTCTACAGGCTGAGGCTCCAACCGCTGAGCCAAACCGGCCGGGCTATTTCCTGTGATTTTAAGAGTACAGAGAATCATCCTATTCTGGTTAGTCCACATGCCTGCAGTGTATAATAAAAAGAAAAAATATTAAAATAAATAAATAAAAGCCTCCTGCCTCGGTGTGTGTGTGTGTGTGTGTTTGCAGACAAAGTACTTTCCTGTAGGAATAACAATAGGTGGAAATATTTATAGATTTCTGGAGTTGTGCTGTGTAGACACTTTGGGCTAAGAAAAATGAGGAGCAGCCAGAGGTAGCAAGACCTGAGAAGGAAAATTCAGCTGCAGTTTCTTTTTGCTGTTGCCCTATTTGCACTTGCAACAAAAAACCCCACTCTTAATAACGTGAATGCATGTTAGGATTTTAAACCCAGTTGTCTTCTTCAGAAAAGGTGGGCTCCTGGACTTAAGTCTGTATCACTTCTATAGCAATTTACAAAGCACAGCGACCATACTGTAAAATATGTGTTATCATCCCATTTTCCAGAGACCTGTGCAGTCCAAGTACAGGCAGACCCAGAGCCCAAACTGAGGCTCATCTTCAAATGCTATGCTCCTTTCCAGAGCACGGTGTCCATAGAAGAGCCCAGCCTCACATCCGATCCTATAGCTTCTTGAGATTCCTGGCCAGGGAGCAAAGATTAGAGCAAAAGTGGACTTACCTTTGCACTCAGGGGTGGGCTGTCTGAGAGCATGCCATGACAGAGCAGAGAAGAGGCAACAGGATGGCTGGATCCAGAGAAGCTAGCAAAACTAGAGCAAAGCAAAGATCACGCCCGTCAGGCAGAACAGCAGAAGGATGGCTGGAAAGGTGGACTTTCTGTCTATTTTGGTACAGCTTTACCAATTGCAGGAAAGTTCATTCATTCATTCATTCGGTACACTGAACCTGTCTCACAGGATGGGGCTGCAACAGGGAAGACAACAGACAACTCCCCTCAAGCTGCTACACTCCATGAAGAGCAAGGACAAAGGTTCATGTCTCCAAGTTGCATACCACACGTAATGAGTAAAGCTCACCTGGAGAAGGTGAAGGGCGACCCTCCTCAAATGTCTCCAAATTTGTGGTCAGGCTCCATGGTGGGGAGCTGAGTCTGCACCCTCAGAATGTGTAGATGCTCAGAATGTGCCAATTATAGAACCTGTGACAATTTAGAGAAGGGAACTATTTAATACTAAGAGATAATTATTTTTTTATCTTAGAAAGTGGGTAACTCCATCCTTGAAAACAAAGTCTGTTACCAAAATAGTAGCCAAATACAGTTCCAGATAAGAGAAGTGGTTTGAGCCCTCAGTCACACAGAGGGTAGGTGGCCACAGAATTGTCCAAGCACAGCTTAGGAGCTTAGCAAAATTCTATGTTCTAGCCCAGAAGTGGGCAATTTTAAAAATAAAATAAGCCAGAGAGCAAATATTTTCTTTGTAGTCAACACGGCCTCTATCCCAGCTACTCAATTCTGCCTTTGTAGTAAAAACAGAGTCACGGACAGTATTAAATGTATAGGTGTGGCTGTGCTCCAACAAAATTTTATTTATAAAATAGAATGCTGGTCTGGAAGTGTTTGTTCTAACTACATGAAACAGCATACCTTGGAACAGTGGTTCTCAATCTTCCTAATGACATGACCCTTTAATACAGTTCCTCATGTTGTATGTGGGCATATCTGCATGTGGGCGGACCTGCCTGGAGACGGATAGAGGAGCAGTGTCTCATTCCTAAGACCCTCAGAAATATGTGTTTTCCAATGGTCTTAGGCGACCCCTGTGAAAGGGTCGTTCAACCCCCAAAGGGGTTGCGACCCACAGGTTGAGAAACACTGCCTTAGAACATCAATAAAATCTCCTAAGATCTCTTCTGTTTCCTCATAACCCCAAAAGGCCAGGCTACGGAAAAGAGGGTCCTAGTGCTGGTAATGTGTTCCCTAAGTGAAGTGGTTCTTGGAGGGTAGGCAGGGCTGATAATCATTAACCTGGACTGTGGATGCCATATGGGAACAACAAAAGGTCTTGACTTTCTGGTTAACTACCTATATTCACGGTCAGACACACAGATCACCTACTCTAGTTTTCCGGTTTTTCTTTCTTTTTTTAATCCTTACCTGAGGATATTTTTCTATTTATCTTCAGATAAAGTGGGAGGGAAGGGGGGGAGAGGGAGAGAGAGAGAGAGAGAGAGAGAGAGAGAGAGAGAGAGAGAGAAACATTGATGTGAGAGAGACACATCAACTGGTTGCCTACTGCACAACCCTGACCAGGGCTGGGGACGAACCACAACCGAGGTATGTGCCCCTGACTGGAATAGAACCTGTGAGTCATTGGTCCATGGGCCGATGCTCTAACCACTGAGCGAAACCATCCAGGGCTGTTTTTTATTCCTTAATTTATCAGAGCTTCAAGTGGCGCAAGCTCTTGAAACCAAATCTTCCATCCTGCAGCCTCTCAGGGCTCTAACCCACAGACACACTCCCCTATCTAGAAGTGGCCCCTGCAACTCTCCATGCTTCTAGCCCATACCCTCACCTTTAATTCATAATGTCAAAAGCCCTGGTGCCAATCACAAATCAATATTCATAATATGCAACATTTTATTAAAACCATTGTTCATAGTCCCAAAAGAGCCTACTGTTAAGTAAAATGCAACTTCTGAATGCATCTGCTGTGCAAGGTCATTTAAGGACACTCTGTTTGACCTCACACATTTGACCTCATTCATGAAACTGTAAAGTGAGGTTATCTACCAACACTGTGAGCAGAGATGAATAATGAAGCTTTTAGTGCTGCAACAGAAAAGCATATTTGGCTTGGACAGTATATAGTGGTGAAAGGGATAAAGTTATTTCCTAAAATGGGATTCTACCTATATCATCCAATGGTGGACAGAACAGAGCTGGAGACTGGGCACAGAGAGAAGGCAAATCATTTGAAGGGGAAAGAAAAGAGAAGAAATACTGGAGTATTTTCTCAGGGATAAAGAGAACTGAGTCTGAACTTGAAGTTGACTATAACCACCAAATTAAGTTTATATAGTTAAATTTTCCTGAAGTACTATGGTTTTTAATAATAATTCAATTTTTAAAAATATACACTTTTTTCAAAATGATTTAGTATACCTTAATTAACTCTGTACCTTCTCAAGTCATTTGGGGAAAGACATATACTAGAATATATAACTAAATTTGTAGCTTTGTAAATAATCCTTAAAATTTTCTAAAGGGGACTATTATGGTCAATTTTACCCATGTAGAATAATTTCTAACTTAAGATAAGCTTACCTGTAGAATTTCAGAAGAGACAAAAGCACTAGTTGAAGTTCTATGTTGCTTTCTGTATTCCATACTTTAATGAAAACAGATGATCTGGGGACTACTGTACAGAAAAATAATGTATTTGAGTCATTACAACACTGGGCACTATGACATCTAAAACCAATGTTCCAAACCTAGCAAGCTGCTATAGGAGCAAACTATTATATATTGACACTTAAGATTTGGAAAAATGACCCTACTTCCTTCTTGTTCTCCAATAACCTCATATATCTAATCTGGAATTGTATTTAGCTATTGTTTGGCAATAGACTTTATTTGTTCTCAAATCACCTCATATATCTAATCTGGAATTGTATTTAGCTACTGTTTGGCAATAGACTTTATTCTCAGGGTTGGAATTACCCAATGACCATTCATTTTAATGAACCTTCTAGTCTAGGATAAAAATGTCATAGGCGCCCTGGCCGGTTTGGCCCAGCAGTTAGAGCGCCGGCCTGTGGTACAGAGACCCAGGTTCGGTTCCGCTAAGGGCATGTACCTCGGTTGCAGTTTGTCCCCGGCCCTGATTGGGTCGTGGGGGTGGCAGCCACTCGATGTGTCCCTTCCACATTGATGTTTCTCTCTCTCTCTCCCTCTCTCACTCTCTCCCCCCCTCTCCCTCCCACTCCATCTGAACAGAAAATGGAAAAATGTCCTCTGGTGAGGATTAAAAAAAAAAGTCATAGGCTCTTTACCTCTCAGTTTTAAACAGTTCCCTTTTCTAGACTGCTACAGGTTCAATTTCCGCTTTTATCAGGCATCAACACAAAATTAGATTCTAAAGGCACAAAATCAGAGCCTTATCTCTGTCTAAGCCGCTGGAGGAAAGCTAAAACACAAAGTTGTTCCTAGTTGAGGACTGCATACTCAAAATTTTACCTCTGAAAACAGAAAAAAAGCATGGTTCGATAACTTGTTCCTTGGTAGTGGCTCTTCCTGACAAAAACAGCCACCTCCTAAACACTGGCACGATGTGCAAAACACAGAGAAAAAAAAGGCATCTCTGCCGGACCCATCTCCTCCTGGTGCAGCAGTGAGGAGTGGAGGAGAAGGAATACCATGCAAGCCAGGTGGCTGCGGGCATCATTCCTACTGTAGCTTGGGCAAGTGGTCTCACCACTGCACCTTTAAGATTTTTTTTTGTTGAAATGCCTTATATACTCATAAAGATCGCCTTTTACAAATATGTATCCACTTGGGGTTCCCTCCACCCTCTCCCCAATTTGCCCCTTCTCCTTAGGTCCACATTCTTGGCAATCGCTCCCCAAGGAGAACCCTCCCGCAACTCGGCTCCCGGGCCCTTCCCCTGCGCGCTGGGAATGCGTTCGCCTCGGCCTGTGGGGACCCACGAACGCCCGAACACCGGCTGCTTCCAATCCCGGCCGCCGCGGCCCAGCCCGGAGCTCGGCAGCACCGGCCCGGGTGTCTGGGAAGTCCCGGGCGCGCCCTGGACCGAGCAGGGCCTACAGCGTGCTCCTTGCAGCCGTGGCCTGGGTCCAACCACACCGCCTGAGTCTCCCGCGCACGCCGGCCCCTGTCCGGCGCCCACCGGGGTGGAGCAGCTGGCAGCCGCGGAGGCCCCAGCCCAAGGGCTCGGCTACTCGCTGCACACCCGCGGCCGCGCTCCGGCAGAGAGCCAAAGCGTGGGCGGCTCCGCCCAGCCCTCCTCGGCCCCGCTCAGGTCCCGGCATCCCGGAGAAGGACGCGTCCTAGGAGTAGCGGGTCCCAGGACCACGCCCGCCACCCAGGCTCTGGTCTCAAAGCCTCAGGGCCGCCCCACGCCCTCGCCTCACACTCACCTTCCGCGCCGCGCGCACCCAGCCCGTCTGCGGGCGGCGGCGACTCTCCCGCCCCTCTGGCTGACGCACCCCCCACCGCCGGCACGCTCGGACCACGTGCGGCCGGAGCCCCTCGCTCGCACGCACGCGCAGCCCCGCAGGCCGGCGGCCCGCTGCCCTCCTCACTGGCCTGGGCGCGCCCTTACGATCCTGGCCATCACCAGGCGCCGCTCCGTGGTTCCAGGTGTGCGGTTTACACTTGAGGATGGCAGAGGTCAGGCGACTTAGTGGCAGACCTTCCGCAGAGGTTTCTGTTTAGGATTCGCTCCTGTTTGCCAGCTTGCAAAGTTTCCAGCTGTGTCAGTGCAGGCGCTGGAGGCGCCCTGGAAGGATTTACTTGTTAAATGCCCTCAGGGAGCCCTGGCCGGTTTGGCTCAGCGGTTAGAACACCGGCCTGCGGTCTGGAGAGACCCCGGTTCGGTTCCGCTAAAGGCACGTACCTCGTTGCAGTTTGACCCGAGCCCTGGTTGGGTCGTGTGGGTGGCAACCACTTGGTGTGTCCCTTTTACGTTGATGTTTCTCTCTCTCTCTCCCTCCCTCCCACTCTATCTGAACAAAATATCGAAAAATGTCCTCCGTGAGGATAAAAAAAAAAAAAAAAGTCCTCATGGAACTGTTAAGGAAAAAGAAAACTAGGGAAGTTCTTAGCTCTTTCCAAAGAAATGTGCGTTCTCCTATAGAATCCATGGAGAGTGGAGGGATTCCAGTGGTCCTAGGGAGTAGCCTGATTTTGGGAAATGCCTCTCTCGAAACTTCTTTGGTCTGGAGACTTCAAAGAAGGCTAGTCCCACTGGGAGTCGTCACCACCCACCTAGTGCTCCCTCGGGGGAGTAGAGAGGCTTTCAGGCGTGGGTGAGGGGGTTGAATTAATCCAAAAATAATGTTTCTTCACTTTTCTCGGTCCTAGAAGACTGCCATCTGCAAACAGTACCCCCTTCTGGCCACTTGGCTGTGGGACTGTGAACAGCTTGGCTCCAGCATTACTGTGTGAAGAGGTGAAGAATGGTTCTGTGAACACCCATATATAGTTCTCCACGATTGCATAACAACGTTTTTCCATAACTGCCTTCTTTCTCTTTCCTAAATACTTCAACCTGCATTTCCTAAGAATAAAGACAAAGACATTCTTCTATGCAACCACATAAGAAACCCAATCACATCTAAGAAGTTGAATAATTTGATGTCCCTTAATATCTGGCCTTTATAAAATTTCATCAGCTGTCAAAAAAAAGTCAGACATTTTAGATAGTCCAGTGAAGAGTCATGCATTGCATTTGTTGTATGATTTTCTCTTTTAATGCACAACACTCCTCCACCTTTTTCTTGTTTTGTGGCATTAACTTTGTGAAGAGTTTAGGCCAATTATCTCTGAGGGTTTTAATTTCTCGATTTGTCTGGTCCTTTCCTCCTGATATCATTTAACTTTTTCTCTAGCAACCTCATTTTCTGTAAGCTAGAAGAAAGGTTGAGATGTTTGATTTGATAGCAAGACTCCTTCATACTTTACAAGGTGCTCTCCATTTGTTTCCCATCAGGAAGAACATAATATTAAATATTGAACACGTAAGATTAATTCTGAAATGAATAATATTAAGTTGTCCCAGTATCAGTGATCACCAAAATTTCAAGTGTCTTCCAGCTTCTTTATTATAAAGTCCATTTTCCCCTTTTGAGATTAATAGGTATTATGTGGGGTAGAGACTTTGGAACTTTTTAGAGAAAACAATTTACAAATCCATTCATTTATGTGGTCAGAGTAATCATCCGGATCATTCTGGTACCTATTGCTTCAAATGCTTCGTTGAATTAAATACTAACTTAATTCAAAGAACAGTAAAATTCTGGTCTTTGTGGAGTTTGGGCTACTTTAGAGTTCCTGTGGATAATTCTGATAAAAGCAGTGATGCATTCTCCAAGGTCTTGTGATGTATGTTTTAAGAAGAGTTGATAAAAATCCAGGAGGAGTTTTCTATATTAACTAGGACACCTTATCTAAACTCCCAGCTCCATTCTAATAACAGAAACAACTCAAGAATATGTAATACTGTATGTAATCTCTGAAAGTTATCTTGTCTCTGGCTCATAGCATAGATATCTGTGGGTATGAGCTCATCTCTTTAAGCTCATAAACTCTGCTAGGCAAGAGCTATGTCAACTTTACTCTATATAACAATGGCCACCTTAACTCCCACAAAAGAACTATCAAAGGGCATCATCTATTCCACAGACAACTGTAGTGTTCTAAACAGACAGCCTGTAACCCCACTTCTCAAAAGGAGACAGTTTTTAGTAAGGCAGTCTAAGTCAGTGTGTGGTATCAATGATTTTGTTATTGGACGAAGTCAGGGTGGGGGGTTCTTTTTCCCATTGGATGTTGGGGGTGGAATCCTTATAATACCTTGAGAAAAAGAATTTTCTGAGACTCACAAGGGAGAATGAGTGATTTTTATTTGTGTGGAATTATATCCCTCGATTTCCAAAGTCCAATTTCTCTTAGTCCAGTCATAGAAAAAGTGTAGCTGGTGTTTCAATAAAGCTAGGAGCAAAGCCAGTGTCCAGAGTTTCCTATCCATCTTGGAGCCAGGTCCAGTGTGACATCAGGCTAGCTGCAGTCTATTAGTCTATTGTGTGTGTGTGTGTGGGGGGGGGTGTTCACATGGCTGTGGGTCATGAGAGCTAATACAAACCCAGAGTCACACAAGTCCCAAGAGTCCCAAGAGCAGCAAGAGGAACCAAGAGGGCAAGTTCCTTTGTTTAGGGAATTAAGTATTTCAAAGATCTGTGTTTGCAGTGGCCACGCTCATTCTGGTCAATGACCTTTGTTCTTAGGTGTGACTGACAACAAGCAACTTCCTTACGTCACCCCTACTTTACTGTGCATGCATCTATCTCCCCTTTGTTGGATCCCTGGGGAATGTAAAGTTGTAGCTCTGGTGAAGCTGTCCAAATGACATGCCTATAATATCTGGCCTTCCCTTTGCTAATTTCCTGTTATCAATAACTAATTAAATATCAGCTTTTGTTTGAATCATCAAATTACTATTTGTTTTGACCCTGCCAGTTGATGTGAATTTCATCAGAGTCAGCAGTCTAAGAGTCCAAAACAGAAGCTGCAAGGCAGAAGTTTCGTAGCATTTTTTTTTCCCACATTCTACTGGTCAAAAGCAAGCATAGGACCATTCAAGGTTTAAGGGGAGGGGAACAGGCAAGGCCATGATCACCAGGAGATGAGGCTTACTGGTAGTGATGGTGGGGACATATTTTGAAAGGAGCTACCAGGCCAAATGTAAATTCAGATATATAGTGTTGATCATCCTGGTCCTTTCCTCAAAATCATGTGGGTCTGGATCATCTATATAATGTCAAACCTAGCCATAATCACCAATTGTGACACACTCATTTGCATTGACTATTATATGGCCCATCATTACTTTGTGTTAGATATTTTTGCTTCGCCCTGGCCGGTTTGGCTCAGCAGTTGGAGTGTCCACCTGCGGTCCGGAGAGACCCGGGTTCAGTTCCCGCTAAGGGCATGTACCTCGGTTGCAGTTTGTCCCCGGCCCTGGTTGGTCGCGCAGGTGGCAGCCACTCGATGTGTCCCTTTCACATCGATGTTTCCCTCTCTCTCTCTTCCTCTCTCTCCCTCCCACTCTATCTGTACAAAAAATGGAAAAATGTCCTCGAGTGAGGATGAAAAAAAATAAAAATAAAAAGTAGTTTAAAAAAAAAAAAAAAAAAGATATTTTTGCTTCAACAGCTTCTTCCTTATCAGAGCCATTTTATTTCGACTAAAGGGAAAATAATAGGGGAGTGAAATGTGCACTCAAAAATTACTTATGGAGAAGAAAAAATAGCGGCGGAGTTAATGAAGCTACACAGACCATCTCCCAGGACCAAACTGGATTTACAACAAAAATAAAGACAAATCATCAGGAAGGGGCAACCGAAAGGCAGCCTGGAGGACCACATAACCAGGGACCCTGACTCAATCCTGGTAGGCTTGCGAGGACGCGAGAGGAGGCCGGGAGCCTACGGTCCGCAGCGGCCTGGGCTGGGACCAGCAAACTCGGCTGGGACCAGGGGGCTCGATGGGAAGCTGCTGCCAACTCGGCTGCATGCTAAGCCCTCGGCTGGTGCCGCACAGACTCAGTGGGACCAGGGGACTCGGCGGGAAGCTGCTGCCGCCTCAGCTGTGACCTCGGCTAAGTCCTGCGAACTCCACTGAGGGCTACACCCTCTGCTGGTGCCGCAGACTCAGCTGCCCTTAACTGGGAGCAACTCCATCGGGTTAAAAGTCCCAGCAGGTTCCACAGCGCAGAGCCGGGACAGAGGCTAAATGGGCAGCAGCCACTCACCTTGGGCTCCGTCAGAGGGAAGGCAGACTGGACTGGAACTGTGTGGGGACACTCGGGATTTGGAGGGTGCTCAGAGCTTTTGCTGAAAGCAGCCATGCAGGACTGTGGTCATCTTACTCCTTCCCAGGGCCCTGGGGAGAGGAGGCGGCCCCTCCCTCTGAGATTCAACCCTACCTGGCGACCATTGAAATGCTAATTGAGGCCCATTAACAACCAGCATCTGCCCCACCCTTGGGAAATCCTCTTAACTGAGCACCTGAGGGAGTTTTTCAGGCAGCTCAGAAACCAAGGTTCTTCAGGTGACCTCTACTAATAGCCTCCAGGCAAAAAAAGCTAGAGGAAAGTTAAGACTTGACAGTGGTGATTAAAGTGGGTCCTCCCTGCCTCATCCAAACTCAGGAGAGGGAGCCACACACAGCAGAACACCAACACCCACAGGGAAAATTTGGCAGACTCCAAAGCCCACTGTGATAGCCAAAATGGTGAAAAACAGAAACAAAAGCCAAATGAAAGAACAAGAGACCTCTACGGAAGATGAGATAAATGAGGTGCAGTTAAGCAAGTTAACAGAACTAGAATTCAGAGCCATGATCTTGAGGAAGCTCAACAGCATGTGTAAGGACATAAGCACCATGAGTAAAGACA